GGAAAACTCTGTGACACAGTCAGGAACCTTTTTTTGTAATATGTACTTCAAATAATGAAGGGATAACTACTAGAAACAAAATAACACATTTTTAGGTTTCCATGTTGTTATCATATAAATCTTCGTGCGGTTGCACTATATAAATATCTCTGACAATACGGAAAAGGAAATGGTAAGATTTTTTCTTCTTAGAAGTAATCAGTTTTTGCCATGCGCTTAGTTCTTCATTCTTTGGCACGACAAAAATAAATTGAAAACTATCGTTTTGATAAAACTATATAGATATATATATTTTCTTTTTTTTGTTGTTGTTACTTTATCATGTAAAAATCAGATCCATTTTTTCCCTTGAATATTATATATAGAAACGGGAAATCAAATCATTTGTTCGTTTACATTTTTATTCCAAATAGAGATACAGTTTCAACTAGATGAAGTCGTATCTGATAATTGTAATACACTTTGCATTAATGGAGATAATTGTGCAGCATCAACATTCGAATGTACCAAGTGTTTCAATTGTATTGATAATCCTTGTATAGTTAATAATGGATTAAAAAGATTTTTAAATAAATTTATCGCTCTATTGAAACCATATTGATGCAAACAATATTTATACAATATCTCAACATATATATTATGTGCATTAAGTACAATCAATGGATTATTTAATGATGGTTCATGGATAATATCATAACCACAAAAAGCTTTAGTAAATAAAATAATTATTAGAAGTAATTTAATTATAACACGATCATATTCAAGCATTTGAATTAATTGTTTTGCTGTAGCTGTTAAATCATGATAAAATTCTTCGCCTAATGTATCAATCCAATCTTTTCCTTGAAATATTGGATCTTGTGTATTATGTTCATGATATGTATCAGCAATTGGATCATAAATTAAAACTATATGCATAAATACAACAGCTAATAAATTATGTTTAATCAATGTTACACGATCTTCTGAATCAAATAATTCAAATTCAGGAATTTTTCTGAAATATGTTATAAGACGTAATGATGATAAATATGTTGGAATTCGTATTAATTCAACTGTTGAATGAATCGGTTGTGTTGCCGGATAAGGAGGTACACCAACAACTCGATTATAAGCAATTGCTTCATTATATGCTGTTTGAACTTGTTCAATTTTTGACCAATCAAACTGACTCATTAATGGAGTTGTATCATCATGTATTATTAAAGGAGGTGTATCATCATGTATTATTA